GTCTTTAAGAGGAGGCTAGATGAACACCTTGCTGGGGTCATTTGACCCCAGTACTCTTTCCTACCATGGCAGGGGGTTGGACTTAATGATATGCTCAGGTCTCTTCTGACCCTACCAACTAAGAAACTATGAAACTCGCAGGGTTCAGTGGGGTCCAATAGGACTGTGAGCATGCAGAAACTTGTGGGCAGCCTCCCCATTATTTATTTATACCAAAAAGACATGGCGGGTGAGAAAAGAGGTGCCAACAGGGCAGAACTGACGCAGTCATGGAGCCCTAGGGGCATCGTGGCCATCCCTGGGGACCCCGCACTGTGACAACTACTCTTTGCAGCTTAAAACCTATTGAACCACATCTTGTCACATTCAGGGAAGAAAAAAATTCTGTCAAACTAAGATTTCTATCAAAAAGTTTTATTGCCCAGCACTGTACATCAGTGTCTTTTGATAAGTGTGATTACTTGCAAAGATATCTTTTTTGTGTCCACTATGATAGAATTTACCAAATAGACCCAGTTATTTCTTTTCATATGCCCCTTTCTAATCATAAGGGGATATGATGGGGATATAGTATAGGGAAAAGTATTCCACCAGCTTCATTAGGTGATGATCTGCAGCGTCACTTCTGTTATTCTCTTTGGATTGATTGAAGTCTTCTCTGTGGCTGATATTCTGCAACTTTTGTTCATATCCATTACTGCAAAACTGCAATAAAACAAAACATCAAACGTGAAATACACCACATGGAGGTAGGTGATTTCTGGGCAGACACCTCTTCCTCCCTTCTGGCATTTTAACTCCAATCTTTCAGTCTTATGCTTCAGCCACACTTGCAGTATATCCTTGCAGCAACTTCTTATTTACTGCTTGCTAGCTTGAATTTTACAATTTAAGAAAAAACCAGCTAATCTCAACAACACCATCTATTTTTTTAAGCCTATTCAAGAAACACCACATCATTCCCAGAGGACTAAACATCTACAAGCCTCTGACTACAACTCCAACTATGCTTCGCAACTATGCAGGAAAACTTCAGAAAAGCTTAGAAATCATCTCCTTCACATAAACTACTTCAAAAGTAATCAGCTGAAGAAGGAAAACAATATATGTTACAACAACCTAAAAGAGAGAAATCCGGATATCTTCCCAAACATTATACAATGCATACAAAAACATTACCAAAGATTTTTTATAACATCCATCCAACCAAAAAGAAGAAATGGAACCAAGTACTACAGAAACAACTTTCCAAGCCACAAAACAACCCTCAGAGAAACAACATCAATACTGTACAACAGTCCAACCTCATACTTGATGAAACAGAAGGAATTAATCAATCCTCAAATATTATCAATCTCTCCACACACACTTACCAAAGCTGAAAAATCTGTCCCCTCCAAAGATCTTAATTTCTACCCTGAAAAATGCCTGAACAAGACACTACAATGTGGAGAACTAGATTTTTTTCTAACACCTGTGTATGAAGGAATATTTCCACATCAATGAAAATATTAATGCCAAAAAAGCTCTCAGGTTGTACACCTTAAGGTGAACAAAATCCAAACCTTGACCACTATATTGACTGCTTCAGAGAATGAATAAAGAATTAAATATTCAACAACAAACACCACTATATCAACCTCTCCCTCCCAGAAACAAGGGCCATAGAATCTCTAAGATCCAACCACCATATAGAAATAAAACATGGGCACTAACCATGCAGCCAGGAACAGTCCAGGAACTTACCTCAATCCTGGGGAAACTCTTTGAGAAGATCATCAAGGAGCACATTTGTGATGGGCTGGCATCAGAAATGATGCTCAGGAGCAATCAGCATGGATTTATTAGGGGGAGATCATGTCAGACCAACCTGATTGCCTTTTACGATCAGGTCACAAAGGCCATGGATGCAGGTGTCACGGTGGATGTAGTCTTTCTGGACTTCAGCAAGGCCTTTGACACCGTCTCTCACCCCATCCTAGTTAAAAAACTAGGCGACTGTGGCATAGATGCCTACACAGTCAGATGGATTGCAGATTGGCTGA